AATTGCCTAGGGAGGTTGTGGAATCTCTGTCATTGGATATTTCTAAGAGCAGGTTAGACAAACTCCTGTCAGGGATGGTCTAGATCATGGGTTCTCAAACTGATCGTGACCCCTCACGGGATCGCGAGATTATTATGTGAGGGGTCGTGAGCTGTCAGACTCCACCCCAAACCCTGCTTCACCTCCAGTATTTATAATAGTGCTAAATATTTTTTAAAGCATTTTAAATTTATAAGGGGGATTGTACTCAGAGGCTTGCTGTGTGAAAGGGGTCACCAATACAAAAGTTTGAGAATCAGTGGTCTAGATAATACTTAGTCCTGCCATGAGTGCAGGGGACTGGACTAGATGACCTCTCGAGGTCCCTTCCAGTCTTATGATTCTATGATTCTCTTGAAATGCTTCCAGTTCCATACTCAAGGCCAGAAAGACAAGCGGAACTGCAAGGTCTCAAAGCGTGGTTGAGATGGTGGTGTAGGGAGGAGGGATTAGGTTTATTAGGAAATGGGGAACCTTTGGGAGAAAGAGTGGTCTAAAAGAAGGGATGGGCTCTATATAAACCAAAATTAAACCAGATTGCTGCCATGTAAAACTAAAAAGGTTGTAGAGGATTTTTTAAACTAAAAGCGGGGGAAAGCCAACAGGTGCAGAGGAGTACACGGTTCAGATGGAGATGTCCTTTAGGGATGAATTTTTTAAAGGGGGAACTCAATATCCTAGTAAAAAGGATAGGAAAGAAGATGATAAAGTATAGGTAGGTGCTAGTGAGGAACAATAAAATGAAACAGAGTCCCATTTAAGTATACCACTTGAAGGCAAGCACCTGAATATTGACAAAATATACAAGTGCTTCTGTACAAATGCTAGAAGTCTAAATGCTAAAATAGGTGAACTGAGTGCCTGATATTAAATGAGGCTATTGATATAATAGGCATCACAGAAACATGGTGGAATGAGAATAATCAATGGGATATGGTAATACCAGGGTATACAATATATAGGAATGATAGAGTAGGTTGCGCTGGTGGGGAAGTGGCACTATATGTGAAAGAAAGCATGGACTCAAATAACATAAAAATCTTACATGAAACAAATAGTACCATAGAACCTCTATGAATAGAAATTCCATGCTTGAATAAAAAGAGTATAGCAGTAAGAATATATTCCTAACCACCTGACCAGGTGGTGACAGTGTCTGTTAAATTCCAAAGATATTAAGAAAGGTTACAAAAGCAGAAAGCATAATAATACTCGGTGATTTCAGCAATCCCCTTATTAACTGGGTACATGTCACCTCAGGACGCAATGCAGAGATAAAATATTCAGACACTGAAAATGACTGCTTCATGGAGCAGCTAGTCCTGGAACACAATTCTTGATTTAGTCCTAAGTGAAGCACAGGATCTGGTCCACGATGTAACGATAGCTGAACTGCTTGGTAATAGTGACCATAATGTAATTCAATTTCACATCCTTGTAGGAGGTCAAATACCAGAAAAACCCTCTACAGTAACATTTAACTTTAAAAAGGGGCCCTATACAAGAATGAGGATGCTTGTTAGATGGAAATTAAAAGGAGCTGTCACAAGGGTTAAATGTCTGTAAGCAGCATGGGAACTATTTAAAAATACTGTAATAGAGGCTCAGACTAAATGTATACCCCAAATCAGAAGACAATAAGATGACCAAAAGAATAACCATGGCTAAACAGCGTGCAATAGAGCCTGTTAGAGGCAAAAAGGCATACTTTAAAATTTGGAAGTCAAAACCTAGGGAGGATAATAGGAAGGTGCACAAACTCTGGCAGGATAAGAGCAAAAGTATAATAAGGCAGGCCAAGAAAGAATTTGAGAAGCAACTTGCTAAAGATGCAAAAACTAACTGTAAGATATTTTTAAAGTAAATTAGAAGTTGAAACCCTGCCAAATAGGAAGTGGGGCCAGTAGGTGACCAAGGTGTTAGAGGAGCACTCAAGGAAGATAAAACAACTGCAGAGAAGCTAAATGAATTCTTTGCATCATACTTCACTGCAGAGGATTTGGGGGAGATATCCTCATCAGAGCTGTCCTTTTAAGTACGGTCCCACATTGATGTATCAATGGAAGAAGTTTCAGAACAAACAGTAATAAGTCACCAGAACCAGATGATATTCACCCAGGAGTACTAAAGGAACTGCAATAAGAAATTGCAGAACTACTAATGGTAATATGTATCCTATCGCTGAAACAAGCCTCTGTACCAGATGATACAGTGGTCAGACAGCTTTTCCAAACCAAAGTAATGTTTAATCTGAATAGCAGGAACAAAGCATAACACAAGAGGCAAAGGACCTTAGCAATCTATATGTATATCTGTTTCACCCAAGGCTTACCATCTCCTAGAAGCTTTGGAAGACCCAGTTGCTTCAGATCCATGCCACAGGACCTGTCTATTTGTCTGTGTCAGTCTGCTCCTCACGAGCTGCTCTGAACAACTGCCTTGCCCTCCTTTAGAGAGTCACCTTTTAACCATTTCAGTTCTTTTGATCTGTCTGTTCCCAGCCTTAGCAAAACAGCTGTGTAACTTTGCCAGGGCCTGCAAATACCATCTTCACAGCTAATAATTCAGATATTTGTTCCTTAACCTCTTCACTTATTTACCAAGGTGTCTTATTTGGATTCATTGTTGTTAACTTCTTGCTCGTTTCCTGAGAGCTCTGTTATTAACTAACCCTACCTGTATTTATGGTCCATATTCTAAATTAGTTAGACAATAAACGTTTCCCAGGACCCTGTCACATTCAGGTTTCATAAATTAATAAAGACCAGTCCCTTGTCCTTCACAGAGAGAAAACAGTGGATGATGACCACTGCTCCTTTCCAGTGAATAAGATGGAGAATATCTTATTGCCCTTATATAAATCCATGGTACGCCCACATCTTGAATACTGTGTACAGATGTAGTCTCCTCCTCTCATAAAAGATATACTGGCATTAGAAAAGGTTCAGAGAAGGGTAACTAAAATGATTAGGGGTTTGGAACAGGTCCCATATGAGGAGAGATTAAAGAGGCTTGGACTTTTCAGCTTGGAAAAGAGGAGACTAAGGGGAGATATGATAGAGGTATATAAAATCATGAGTGGTGTGGAGAAAGTGAATAAGGAAAAGTTATTTACTTGTTCCCATAATATAAGAACTAGGGGCCACCAAATGAAATGAATGGGCAGCAGGTTTAAAACAAATAAAAGGAAGTTCTTCTTCACACAGTACACAGTCAACCTGTGGAACTCCTTGCCTGAGGAGGTTGTGAAGGCTAGGACTATAACAGGGTTTAAAAGAGAACTAGATAAATTCATGGAGGTTAAGTCCATTAATGGCTATTAGCCACGATGGGTAAGGAATGGTGTCCCTAGTCTCTGTTTGTCAGAGGATGGAGATGGATGGCAGGAGAGAGATCACTTGATCATTACCTGTTAGGTTCACTCCCTCTGAAACACCTGGCATTGGCCACTGTCGGTAGACAGGATACTGGGCTGGATGGAGCTTTGGTCTCACCCAGTATGGCCATTCTTATGTTGAAGCCACACAGTTCACAGATCAACTAGTCATTCCCCAGCTGTTCTGTCAGTTTGCCCAGTACTACTGTGATGAATCCCCCATTGTACTTCTAAATCATGTGGAGCCTTCTGTGACAGGACAGGAAGATGCCGGATTTCATTCCATGAGCCAAGCTCTGCCTGACTTATGCCCTGTGGAACTCCACTGTTCTCAAAGACATTACAGGGTATATTATTCAGGGCTAATTATTTTCCGTCTGTGTTTAGCAATATTTTATAATGGGCATGAGCATTAGCTTACAAGACTAATGTCAGGTAAGCACATATTTTTCAAATATCTTGCTTTCCAAAGACGAAAATACAAAGAGTGAGAACTGTGTTTTTCTCCAACACATATAATTTGCTCAACTCTGATAGACTGTAAACAGCTTAGATAACCTCCTCCCTCTTAAAGGGATTTTTACCCATACATGTTTCAAATGGGTGAATTCTGATTTAATGTACAGTATTTAGAACAAGACAGCCACAATGAAATTGAGGTGCTGAACACAGAAAAGGGAAAGGACCCAAGAGCCCTTAAAATAGCGTCTTTGGATGCACCTCTCTTATAATGTACTAGAGAAGCTAAGCCGCTCCTGAGTCCAGGTCTCTCTCAAGCTAGTCTACACCAATCCATAGTGCTGACATTGTCGGAGTGGAATGCTGTTTAAAATTAAGCTCTGTAGCAAAATCCTTTCACACCAGATTTGTGGGCTCTAGGGACTCTGCCAACTTGTTCAAGAATCAAATTGTAAAAACACACCACAGTGACCTATTTACATTTTGCTAAACAAAAGTTTACTTCATGTGCCCTCACTGGTCTGGGATTGCATCCCAGAATGTGACAACAGCACCTCCATGAGGCAGGTAAACATACCATTTCACAGAAGGGTAAACTGAAACACAGAGAGGGTAAGGCCAACCTTTTGTTAGGCATCTCAGTCCATACACAGACAACTATATAAGTACCCTGATATTACAGAGGTGCTGAGTATTTGTCTCTTCCTGAAGTCAATGGGAGCTGCAGGTGCTCAACCCCTCTGCAAATCAGGCTGCTTATACAGATGAATTTAGGTGCCTAACTTTGGGCACCCAAGTTTGCAAAGGTAGGCCTAAGTAACTAAATAAGTCACACAGCAAGGCAGTGGCAGATTTGGAGTTTTTATAATTTAACATTTATTTTTGGAAGTTCCTTCAATACACAAAAGGAATCATGATCTCCTCCTGAAAGACCTTATAGCTAAAAACAGAACTCAGGAATCTTGAATCCCTGTTTAAATCACTAGAAAGGTGGCTTCCCACAGAGTAAAAAAAGACAAAATAAATTAAAACAGAAACATGCCATGGCAAGAGGTTGTACTGCAAATCAGGGTTATCTTACTTAAGGAGTATTTTTGAGGGGAAAATATAAACTGTAGTTACTCACCTACGATGAGTAAGAAAACTACCACTGACATGTCCCGAGCCATCACATCCTGGAGTTGGACATGACATACCTTCCGTCTTCACTGACTTCCAAGAGAACTGTGAGCCATTTAAGTACCCATCTTTTTGCCTTTTGGCAGCTAGAGGGCACCCTGATGCACTGCGATGGGATGCATACTTTCCAGTTATATGACCCTGACCATCACAACCAGGAACTGGACATCTGGATAGCAGATAGATGAGATAAACTTTATTGTCTTGCCATCATATACCTGGTAGCCTCTACAACAAAGTCAAAATAAACCTGACATGAAAAGAAAAGAACAATCATGCTCTATGGACTTAAAAAAAATCACCAAAGATACCCCAATGGAATACTCAAACATGTGAAGCTAGAAGAACTCTGTTAATCAGAAAAAGATTTGCAGCTCTCAAGCTGATAAAAAATAACCATGCTAATCAATGGCAAAGTCCCAGGCTTTCCACTTACACTGCATATTGGAGAGAAAGTATCAGGGTACATGTTTGAAATGAAGGTGTCTATTATGGTAAACAGCACATTGGGATCAAAGTGATATTTACTGAGCTTCAGTGAATGAATAGTGAAATTTAAAAACTCTAAATTTTTAAAATCCCACCTGGCATAGTTTTATGTGCATTTTAAGAATGCGTATGAAATTTAAAGGTGACTTACTTTAAAATTATGGGAATGTTATAAACACTTAGATATCAATCAAACCTTTGCCATAGTTAGTACTTCAAAGGGACATTGTCAGATTAAAAATCATGGGCCAAAGCTTCAGAGATTATAAGCACCCACAGATCCTATGGGGGCAGATCGTGAAATGTGGTAAGTGCTCTCACCACTCACTGGCTACTAGAGGCTATTAAATCTCACAGGATTGGGCCAGAGATATCAATGGAAAGAAGTTTTGGGTGCTCATCAGGTGCTCACTGTTGCTCAAGATCTCCCCCCCATATATATTTGGCCCCATTTATTTTTAAGAAACAAATGTTGTTACCCGTGCTAGTAGGAGCAGTTTAGAGTATTAAACACTGAATGTACTTTTCAGCATGTTGCTGCTTGATTAAATTTTACAATTTGTGTAGCTTGGAGAGTCAGAGTAGTCAGTTTCATTGTCTGGTTATCCTACACTAAAACAGTGCTGCAATGTTTGGGGTCTGATCCTGAAAGGTGCTGAGCAGCCTCCACACTGACTGATGTCAATGGGAGCGGAGGTCATTCCACATCTCACAAGGAGAAACACGGGCCAAAATGTTCAAACTTGGGTGCCTAAAGTTAGGCACTTGCTTCCATTTGTAGGCACCCAAATCACTGGCCTGGTTTTCAGAGGTGATCATTCACAACTCCCGTTGACTTCTGAATCCCTTTAAATACTTTGTGTGTCAGATGTAGCTTGTCCATAATGTTTATTCACTGTGTTAATAGAACAAGGCTGTGAAGGACTTGAAGTTTTTTATTTTCACTTTAAAAAATACAGTTTTTCAAACTTTCCAAATACAAGAGATCAGATCCTCAGCTGGTGTAAATAAGCACGGCTCTTGACCTGAAATCAAGTCACTGAACTCAGTGGATTTATATCAGTGGAGGATTCAGCCTTTACTAGCAATTGAATTTGTTTTAAGCAAACCAGATACGACTGTTCCATTGATTTTAAAACAACTAACTGTGCTCTTTAGTTCAGCATATCTTTGTTCTTGAATTACTATGACAAATATGATAAAGTTCATATTTTAAAAAATCAGGCTGTAGATATACCTGCGCTCATAATACACACAAAGGTTATTTGACTAGATTTGTACTTACCTAATTGGCTCTTGGTCTTCTTTGTCTTCCTTGCTTTGTGCTATCCTGATTCCACTTTTCTTTGCTCGTGGACAACCTGAGAGACTGAGTGAAAGAACAAGTTTTTAAAAGTAATTCCTCATTCCTGACTATAATTTATAAGGGCTCTACAAAGGGACATTCTTTGCACATGAAATACTACAGGCTAGATACTACTGTCTTGTTTTCAACAGTTATAGCTCTGATGATTTAAAGAATAAAGACAGTTGGCAATAAAAAACCACAAGGGGGAGCCAAGTATCTCAGATTCTGACTGAAGGCTGGGACTGGGAGTACTTTGCACACCACACACACAGCCCCTAAGGAGAGAAAAAGCAGCTTTCCAAATCTCTGTCTAATGATCCCTCCAGCTGACTCAGCAGAAGCAGTGATAGGCTTCAGAAGGAGTGGGATCCAGTGTTTTATGGACAGAAAGACAGCATGTCCTGTGCGTGCTTGAGATGGACATAAGAATAAGGAGTAAAAGCAGAAAAGATCTCTATCTTTTAAGGAGGGGGGGGGGAGTTAGAAGATCTTTTAGGGGATATATTAAGACAGTTAAATTTTCTAAAATTTTCCTGCGGAACTTGCATTCAGGAATTTGTTAAAAAATCATGGATAATAATATTTCACAGACTACAAAGTTGTGCAAAGACTTCCTGGAAAAAAATAAGTAATGTAAGCAAGGGAAAATCTAATAAAGCTAGCTAGCAAGCTAGGTAAAAGTACTTTGTATTAGGCATTGAAAATGTATTCAGCACTATACAAGATGCAAAGAAATATACCTTGTATCAAAAGACCTTCCAATCTGAGTTCTTCTTTACTATATAAGGTATAGTTTAGATAAACTATTTCGCAAGCTTTTCAGCAACTGAGTAGGTTTGAAAAAATTGGGCATATTGGGCTAACCAGTCAGAGTTGAAGGAAAGTTACTTTTACCAGTTGCTATGTGTGTCAGTGACACAAATGTGTACATCTGAAAAAAACAATGCTTAATCTTTAACTCAAACATTATTTTCACCTTCACATATGGATGTGGAAGCTGGAAATCCATCAGAGGCATAGATAGATGTCTAATTGCCTTCAAAAGCAAGTGCCTCAGGAAAATACTAGGTATTAAATGAAATGAACTTATAACAAATGCCAGGATTTGTCAGAAAGTTCAACAACTCTTTATCTCCAGAAAAGAAGATGGAAATATCTGGGACATATGTTAAGAATGAAGCCAGAGTGTCTGCCATGGCAGGCATGCCATTGGGCAGGTGGAGGAACATGTAAAAGGGGCTGACCTAAAGAATCCCTCCATCAAACAGTATTTAGGGAGGCAAAATTTATGGGAATAAACAACATATAAGCTATACAAAGACTGGCCCAGGATAGACAGGGACAACGGAACCTTGTTTGTGCCCTAAGTGACATCTGATGGCAAGGAAGGATTCAGATGGCTTTGTTTACTGCTGGCCTCACATATTCTGCGTCCACTTTTACCAACTACCAAAAATTTCTTGGATACCCAGTTTTCCAGGGGATCTTCAAAGATTGGTAGTGGGCACTCGTCAGGCATCCATTTCTTGCAGACAACTCACATAATTACTACAAGCGTCACAACACGCATACACCCAGATACCTGACTTTGGTAATTAGGACTAGAACATTGGCCCTTCAGCTGCAAGGACAGAGGCCTCTAGCATGAGTTGAAGGAAATCTCCCTTGTCTAACACTAGTAGTAGGTCCCTTATTCACACTGTGGCCAGCCACTAGAGTTCAACACAGTTGCACATAAAATCAGTACATTACCTATATTTAGTAACTCATCGATCAGCTGTTAGCTGCTTGTTCTTTATGTGGAAATCATCACCCTCTCTCTAAACTTCTGTTACAGGTGATTCTTTTAAATCCATTTCTATACATGAAATCTCTTCTGGATGTCCTGGCTGCCCCCTGGAATTCCTCACCTTTTGTCCCCGCTAACCCAGTTCTCCTCACTGTCAACAATCTCACTATTTTCTCTGTCCCACGGATATGACGCACCAACTACTGACACTACAACTCTAATATGTATGAATTATTTAGGCAGATATTTAGGAGATAATTTTAACAAGCTTAGGACATGTTTAAACATTTATCTAGTTTGTTGTTCTTTAAATTACTCCTATATAATACTAATTCTAGCTCTTAAATAGCACTTTTCATGAGTAGATCTCAAAGTTTAGACATCTTGCTACCATGGTGAAAACACAACATTATCTCATTATCTGTCTGTTGGTGGGTAGTGTGTTGCTTAAAATTAGAGCTGGTTGGGAATTTTCCATCAAAATCTTTTGAGAGAAAATGTGGTTTCCCATTGGAATCTGTTGATTTTGTTGACTTTTTTGGGGATATTCCTCTTGGGAATATCAAATTAAAAAAAATAATTGGGGATCGGGTCAACCCAAATTGAAAATGTTGGGGTTGTCGAACAGAATCAAAATGGTTCAGTTCTACATTAATATGGGTCTGTCTAAGCAACAGGAAGACAGAAAAAGAATTGGTCACAAGGAGTTAAAGGGGTAGTTAAGGAAGATATGGATATTACTATAAAGATAGTGCCATCTACAAGTCGAAACACGAAGGGGGCATATGAATGTTTAGAATATCTGTCATGTAATTACCTTGCAACGCCAGCTACAAGAGTGCCATGCAAATGCCTGTTCTCATTGTAAATAAGAAGCGGGCAGCATTATCTTCCGCACATGTAAATAAACTTATTTGTCTTAGCAGTTAGCTGAACAAGAAGTAGACTGAGTGGACTTGTAGGTTTTAAAGTTTTACATTGTTTTGTTTTTGAGTGCAGCTATGAGAAAAAATAATAATCCTACATTTGTAAATTGCACTTTCACAATAAAGAGATTGCACTACAGTACTGGTGTGAGGTGAATTGAAAAATAATATTTATTCTGTTTTTTACGGTGCAAATATTTGTAATGAAAAATAATAATCTAAAGTGAGCACTGTATACTTTGTATCCTGTGTTTTAATTGAAATCAATATATTTGAAAATATAGAAAAACATCCAAAATATTTATAATACATTTAAATTGGTATTCTATTGTTGTTTAACAGTGCACTTAAAACTGCGATTAATTGTGACTATTTTTTTTAATTAAGTTCATTTGTTTTGCATTAATCGCTTGAGTTAACTGTGATTTACAGCCCTAATTTTTTTGCATCAGTCTTCACTGCCAAGAATGTTGGAGAAATACAGCCTTTATGTGATGAATTGGGAGAATCTGAATTCTGTGTGAGATTATGAGCCCGCTGTACATATCTTTACCAAGTTGCAAACTCCATTTTGAACATGCATTACATTAGCTTGTCTATTGTCTGCTTGCTTCCACATTGGACTGAAATTCCAACAGTGGGTGGCAAAAGGTTAACAAAAGTCTTAAGTGCCTGATAACTGAAATGTAATGACTCCACATAAAAAAAATAGACTCCAAAGGAGACTTGGTTTAGCAGGAGAGAGATCACCTAGCAAGAAAGTCATCTGGTAGGACTCTGTGGTCACCTGTTAAGGCTGACCTGGGAATCACCTGACAGAGGAGACAGGAAGGTTATTAAAATCAGAAGCTGCTATTTTTGCTCTATTTTCAGCCATTTTTCACCAGTTTGAGATGAGGGAGGCTGCTACAGGAGCCAGATGAGGCAGAAGAGGGAGGACCCTGCCTATCTGAACAAAAATGGTCCCCGAAGATTCCCAAGGGAAGGATGGGCTCCCTGACATCTCAAAAATGATACTGCAGAACTAAAGGAGGTTTACAGAAGGGTGACAAAAATGCTCACTGGCCTGGAAACACACTCCGCTGAAGAGGAATTTACTTTAGAAAGAAGACGAGTAAAAGGGGACATGAAAATAGTATACAAAATACTGAATGATCTAAAGAAGGTAGATTGGGAATTTCTGTTCTCCCGGCCTCATAACACAAGAAGGAGAGGACATACAATTAAATTAAAAGGTGAGAAATTCTAAACTGATAAAAGGAAATACTTTTTCACACGTGTGATTAAACTGTGGAACTCATTGCCACTGGTATTAGTTGAGGCCAAGAACTTAACAAGATTAAAAAAAGAGATTGGATATTTATATTGATATCACAAATATCCAGCACATTCATAATTAATGATAACAAAAATACTGAATGTGATATTAAACTTCATGCTTCAGGGCTTAGCCAACCTCCAACCATTAGAGGGCAGGATGAACTAATGGGAAGGCAGATTATCCCACATCTGCTACTGTGGGGTTCTTACACCTTTCTCTGCAGCATCTGGTGCTGGCCACTGTCAGAAACAGGACACTGGATTAGACAGACAATGGGTCTGATGCAGTCTGGAAATTCCTGAGTTTCCCATGGAATGGAAATTCTATTTTCAATTAGATATCCTTAAAAGGTTATGGGCTCCATTGAAGTCAATGGGAGTTTTGCTACTGTCTTCAATGGAGCCAGAATTTTCTAAAAAATAAAGAAAGAAAAATTACTGACAAAAATCTGATTTTTTTGTAAAAGTTTGCAATTAGTTAAAAAGCTACTTTCCAGTCACTTCCCTGCCCTCCCCCCATATATTTCAACAAGAATTTTTCTACTAGCTCTAACAGCAGGTATCAAGAATGTCGTCATAATTCTCATCAATTCCAGATGCCAATGAAGGGCCAAATTCTGCTCTTTGGTATAAAGCTAGAGTTACTCCACTGACCTGAGTGGAGTAATTCTGCCTTTACTACAATTCTAGCTGAGAGCAGAATTTTGCCAGAAGTTCGGGTTTAGTTCAATTTGTTTTTTCAGAATTATCTAGGTTGCCGGTTATATGGTGTTATTATTTACTATGTGTACTACAGTAGCATCCATGCTAATGGTGACCCCATTTTGCTGAGCACTATACAAACATATGTCAAGTTCTTCCTACTCCTTGACTTCTGCTTGCTGAAGAGAGACTACTATTTTCCTTTTCAAGAAAAGTTCTGAATGTTCCAATTTGTGTGGAAGAAGTAACCCATTAATGATACTGATGCTGATCATGTGTGTGAC